ACCCCAAGGGCCACCCAGTCCAGCCCCACTCTGCCATTCAAAAACACACAATCAAAGCACTCCCGACAGATAGCCACCCCGCCTCTGCCTAAAAACCTTCAGAGCTGGAGATTCCACTGCAACACAAGACAGCATACTCTACTGTTGAACAGCTCTTAGCATTAGGAAGTTTTTCCTAATATTTTGATGGACTCTTTTGACCTGCAGTTTGAATCCATTGCACCATGTCCTGGTCTCTAGAGCTGCAGATAATAATCTCCCCTCCTCAATGCAACTTCCTTTCCAATATTGAAATGTGGCCATCATCCTTTGGCATCCGCCTTGTCCCATCCTGCCAGCAGCAGGACAAAGATGCAACTTCGCCATGACCTTTTCGCTAGCAATATCCTCCACAGATGTCAAAACAGAAATTCCAGCTGTTTTATTCCATTGCAGTCCTTTCACTTCCTCCCTCTCCCAAAAAATTCTGGGAGTGCAGCTGTTCACCAGAACTGATTGTTTTAACTATTCTAGCTTCAATTCTGCTTTAATACTTGTATGTTGAAGGTTTTAAATTGCATTGTTTACAATGTAATGGGCTGCTCTGAGGGTGTGGTATTAATGAAGTTTGACACTACTTTAACTTCCATGGCTCAATGCCATGGAATCATGGGATTTGTAGTTTGGTGAGGCACCACCACTCTTTGGCGGAGAAGGCTCAAGACCTTGTAAAACTACAAATCCCAGGATCCTCTAGCAGTGAGCCATGGCAGCTAATGTGTCAAATTGCCATAATTCTACAGAAAGGAAAGTGGAGTATAAATAAACTACTACTAATGATAATAATATTTCTCTAACCTAACCCTCCAAATCACCATAATTACCAACATCCTGTCACTAGGTTCCTGCGGGTTTTGCCGGCTCTATGGACATGTTCCAGTAGCATTCTCTCCTGACGTTTCACCCACATATATGGCAGGCATCCTCAGAGGTTGTGAGATCTGCTGGAAACTAGGCAAGTGAGGTTTATGTATCTGTGGAATGTCCAGGGTCGGAGAATGAACTCTTGTCTGTTGGAGGCAAGTGTGAATGTTACAATGGGCCACCCTGATTAACACTGAATGGCCTTGCAACTTCAAAGCCTGACTGGTTGCTGCCTGGGGGAACCCTTTGTTGGGAGGTGTTCACTGGCCCTGATTGATCCTTGTCTGGACAAGATTCTTGTCTTGTGTAAGCTAATATCCTGTCAGCTTAGAAATCAAGCATGGGTGTTGTAGTGGAGAATTCATTTCCCTCCCTCTCAAGAGATGCATGCACACTGTAGAATTAATGCAGCTTGACTGCCATGGCTCAGTAGTATGCAATACTGGGAGTTATAGTTTAGAGAGGCACCAGAACTCTTTGGCACGGAAGGTTAAAGTCTTTGCAAAACTACAACTCCCAATGAAACCAGCATGGCTTAAGATGCTATGGAAGTATAAGAGTTGTAATAATGATAACAACAACAACAACAACAACAACAACAAGTTTCTAGGATTGTCTGCTCGCTCCATTTCTCTCCAAATATCCAGCCTAGTTATATGTCACCTTGTCATGCTCAGTATTTTAAAATTTTAATCATTACATTTGGCCCTGCCATAGGTTTTTAATGTGTCGTGGTGTTATTGTTATTGTTTATTGCTTTGTTTATGAGTTTATTTATTGTCTGTATTGCTGTGTTGTTTATTGATGTATTTGGGCTCGGCCTCTTGTAAGCCGCACTGAGTCCTCCGGGAGATAGTAGCGGGGTATAAATAAAGGATTATTATTATTATTATTATTATTATTATTATTATTAATTGTAAAGTATTGGAGTCGGCATATCTACTTCTTTCTCTGAAAGTGCGTCATACTCTGTCCCACTGGAAACAGATTATAGAACAGTGGTTCTCAACCTGGGGTCCCCAGATGATTTTGGCCTTCAACTCCCAGAAATCCTAACAGCTGGTAAACTGGAAGGGATTTCTGGGAGTTGTAGGCCAAAAACATCTGGGGACCCCAGGTTGAGAACCACTGCTCTAGAACATGGCCATATAGCCCGAAAAAACCCACAAGAACTGAGGATTATTATTATTATTTGAAGGCTTTCACCACCACCACCACAGCAACAACATATTGTCAAAGGCTTTCATGGCCGGAATAACTGGGTTATTGTGTTTTTTCTGGGCTGTATAGCCATGTTCTAGAAGCATTTTCTCCTGACATTTCTCCTACATCTATGGCAGGCATCCCCAAAAGTTGTGAGGTGAAACAATTAGGACAGAATGCTTCTGGAACATGGCCATACAGCCTGGAAAACACACAACAACTCATAATAATAATAATAATTTATTTCTAGACTGTACTCTCTCCCCAGAGGGATTCAGGGCAGTGTCTGTCTGTCTGTCTGTCTGTCTGTCTGTCTGTCTATCTATCTATCTATCTATGTATAGGCAAATCTATCTATCTATCTATCTATCTATCTATCTATCTATCTATGTATAGGCAAATATGCAATGCCACAATTAAATCACACAATATCAAAAGGGTTGTAGATTCACAAGGTCTTTAGCTTTCTATGCCAAGGGGTACTACAAATCCCAGGATCCCATAGTATTGAGCCATGGCAGTTGCACCCAAGGAAGGAAGCATATGAATGGGAAAGAAAGAGGAATGCGCACTTGCGCAGCACATCTGTTAGAAGAGAGACTTGTTTGCAGAGAAGGAGGAGAAGGAAATATGTGGAGGATCAGCAGAGGAAAAAGACTCGGATCTTCCATTGAATGCCACACTGCCTGGGAGCCATGCGAACTGCTTGCAAAGATCTATAAATAAACTCCTGGGCCTTTTGAAAGAAGCATAGGATGGGACCAAACCAGCAACCAGAACCGAACCCTCAAAATCCAGCTGCATATCAATAGAAATGGCCTTGGGGCCATGCTTTGCCTCTCCTCCCAAGGCTCTTTCTATTGCTCCATTTGAGATACTGAGCATGGGAGAGAAAATATAAACCTGGAAAAAGAAGAATCCTCCCCACAACAACAACAACAACAACAACAACAACAACAACAACAACAACAACAACAACAACAACAACCCTCTGACATTTTAAATTGCAATATATATGGAAGGGGGAAGGAATCAAGCCCTAAAACTCAACCACAGCCTTTAAAAATATTATAAAAATACAGACAAGTTTTTGCATCCTCTCCTTTGAATCTATTGATTTTCCATAGGGTTACTATCAGAAAACAGAGAATCTGAATTTGGAATTCCCTCCTTAGTGATGATAATAATAATAGTAATAATAATAATAATACGAAATTATAGCAAGGCTTTAAAAGTATCTTCAGGAATACAACCTTTCCCTCCAACATTAAAATATTGTTGTTGTCTCCCCTCCTTTGAACCTATCGATTTCCCATATGTTTACTACTCTCGGAAAGCAGAGGATTTCAATCTGTCCCTTAGAAGAAAGTGTCAGAAACACAGTTGCGCAGTTAATAATCGCAGCAATTAATAGCTGCAATATTAATATCCATATCAATGATATCAGCAATAGCAATTAGAAGGAAAAGATAAATAGCAATGGCAATAATAATAATAATAAGAATAGCAGCAATGGCAATAATGAGAATAATAGTAGCAATGGCAGAAACAATAATAGGTATAGTGATAATAGTAATAATAATAGTAATGGCAATACTACTAGTAATAGTGATAATAATAATAATAGTACAATTAATAATAGTAATAATAATGTCAATACTAATAGGAATAATAATGATGATAATAATGTCAATACTAATACGAATAGAAATTGGAATAGTAATGTCAATACTAATAGGAATAATAATAATAATAATAATAATAATAATAATAATAATATGGTAATAATAGTGGCAGTGCTAACAGGAATAATAATAGTAATAGTAATGTCAATACTAATAGGAATAATACTAATACTTATAGGATTAATAATAATAGTAATAATAATGTCAATACTAATAGGAATAATAATAGTGATAATAGTAATAATAATGTCAATATTCATAAAAAATAATAATAATATTAATGGCCATATAAATAGTAACAACAATGATAATGTCAATACTAATAGGACTAATAATAGTGATAATAATGTCAATATTAATAGGAATAATAATAATATACTAATAATAATGTCAATACTAAAAGGAATAATAATAATAGTAATAATAATAATGGCAGTGCTAATAGGAATAATAATAATGTAGTAATAATAATAATGTCAATACTAAAAGGAATAATAACAATAGTGATAATAATAGGAATAATAATGTCAATATTCATAGGAATAATAATAGTAATAATGTCAATACTAATAGGAATAATAATAATTGCCATAATAATAGGAATAATAATGTCAATATTAATAGGAATAATAATAGTAATAATGTCAATACTAATAGGAATAACACTAATTGCCATAATAATAGGAATAATGTTGATATTCATAGGAATAATAATAATAATAATGGCCATATTAATAATAATAATAGTGATAATAATAGTGATAATAATGGCAATACTAATAGGAATAATAATAGTGATAATAATGTCAATACTAATAGGAATAACAATAATATAGTAATAATAATACTAATGGTAATACTAAAAGGAATAATAATAATGTCAATACTAATAGGAATAATAATAGTGATGATAATAATGGCAATAATACTAATAATAATAATGGCAATACTAATAGGAATAATAATAACAGTACAAATAATAATGGCAATACTAATAGGAATAATAATTGTAATAGCAATGGAAATAATGGCAATAGGAAAAGCAATAATGGGAGTAATAGGAATGGGAATAATAACAACAAGAATAATGGTTATTCTTTCCTAAAGGAAGCTTTCTCTCCCCTCTCTGTTTGTTTACAGAAAGGCTCCTCTTTCTGGAAGGCATCTTCTTCCCCTTCCTTCTCCTTTCCCCCAAATGGGACTGATTACCTTCATCATGCCAGGCAGATCCACTCCCAAATCTCCAAATATATATCTCTATATAAAGGAATCCGGTTGGCGATGCTTGTGCCTGTGTGTAGGGAGGGAGGGAGGGCGAGAAGGGTCTGGCTGTCTGTCCTTGGCGGATGCAGGCGCTGCTGCCCGAGCCCGCTCTCCTTCTCTCTCTCTCTCTCTCTCCGGAGTCCAAAAAGGCGGATGATCCGGAGGCGAAGGCGCCGCTGGCGGGACACGTTGCAGCAGCTCCGCTTCGGAGGAAGCTTCGCTCGGGGCTCTTTTCCCGCTGCTGCTGCTGCTCCAGTTGCCCTCTTCGATTGCATCACAGGCGGGGAGGCGCGCTTCCCGCCGTCGCCACTAGGGGAGCGAGAGAGCAACAATCTTCGAGCATCACAGCAAAGAGTGTGGCTCGATGTCTTTTCCGAGGCAGGGAGCCCTAAAGGTCATCTAGTCCAACCCGAGCTTTTTCAGTCCATTCAGGAGCGACGCTAACAGTACCTAGACCAGTAGTTCTCGACCTGATCCCCACCTGTTTTGGCCTACAACTCCCAGAAATCCCAGCCAGTTTACCAGCTGGGAATTGAAGGCCAAAACATCTGGATATTGAGAGATATTGACAAGCTGGAATGTGTCCAGAGGAGGGCGACTAAATTGATCAAGGGTCTGGAGAACAAGCCCTGTGAGGAGCGGCTTAAAGAGCTGGGCATGTTTAGCCTGAAAAAGAGAAGGCTGAGAGGAGACATGATAGCCATTCATACCCCCCCCCCCCCCGAAATTCTCATGGTGGTTCGCAAAAAGGTCTTAAAGGTAAAGGTAGTCCCCTGACATTAAGTCCAGTCATGTCTGACTCTGGGATGTGGTCAGGGGCGGCTCAACCCATTATGCAAAGTAAGCATTCGCAGTATAGTTGGTTTTGCCCAGGGGCGCTCTTGGGGGAAAATAGACCTTGACATATGTGAGTTGTAGTTACTGGGATGTATAGTTCACCTACAATCAAAGAGCATTCTGAACTCCACCAATGATGGAATTGAACCAAATATGGCACACAGAACTCCCACGACGAACAGAAAATATATATCAGTTGGGGAGGGGGGGCGCACCAAAATACTGTTTGCTTACCCTTGAAAATTACCTAGGCCGCTCGGGGTGTGGTGCTCATCTCCATTTCTAAGCCGAAGAGCCAGCGTTGTCTGTAGACACCTCCAAGGTCATGTGGCTGGCATGACTGCATGGAGCGCCGTTACCTTCCCGCCGGAGCGGTACCTATTGATCTACTCACATTTGCATGTTTTCGAACTGCTAGGTTGGCAGAAGCTAGGGCTGACAGCGGAAGCTCACGCCGCTCCCCGGAATCGAACCTGCGACCTTTCGATCATTATTTAAACTGTTATGTTTATTCATATCATGATCTGATCACCATACTCAATATATCCCATATGCATGGGGGTATTGGGTAACAATACAAAATGTTTGCTAGGGTAGAGGGTCTACCCTAGCAAACCTTTTGTATCGTTACAAAGTAGACCCTCTTTCACTCAGACTCAGCCCCCCCCCCCCCCCGAATCAAAATCCTGGCTACGGGCCTGTAGCCATGTATAAATTTGTGAGAGGAAGTCACAGGGAGGAGGGAGCAAGCTTGTTTTCTGCTTCCTTGGAGACTAGGACGCGGAACAATGGCTTCAAACTACAGAGAGGAGATTCCATCTGAACATGAGAAAGAACTTCTTGACTGTGAGAGCCGTTCAGCAGTGGAACTCTCTGCCCTGGAGTGTGGTGGAGGCTCCTTCTTTGGAAGCTTTTAAACAGAGGCTGGATGCCCATCTGTTAGGGGTGCTTTGAATGCAATTTTCCAGCTTCTTGGCAGGGTTGGACTGGATGACCCACGAGGTCTCTTCCAACACTATGATTCTATGGGGAACCACTGGTTGAGAACTACTGGTCTAAACCGTAGAATGAGTTCCATTTCACGCCACTTTAACTTCCATGCCTCAATTCTATGAAATCCTGGGAGTTGTAGTTTGGCGAGGCTGCTCTAGCACTATTTTTTCTTGGCAGAGAAGGCTAAAGAGAAGAATCAATCAGGCCTTGAAGCTACAAGGCTATTCAATGCTAATCAAGGTGCTTAATTGCAACTTTCACACTTGCCTCTAACAGAAAAGAGTTCTTTCTCCCATCCTGGACCTTCCACAGATATATCAACCCCACTTGCCTAGTTTCCAACAGACCTCACAACTTCTGAGTATGCCTGCCATAGATGTGGGCAAAACGTCAGGAGAGAATGCTTGTGGAATATGGCTGTACAGCCCTGAAATCTCGCAGCAACCCAGACAAGAGTTCTTTCTCCCACCCTGGACATTCCACAGATATATCAACCCCACTTGCCTAGTTCCCAAAAGACCTCACAACTTCTGAATGTGCCTGACATAGATGTGGGGGAAACGTCAGGAAAAAATGCTTCTGGAACATGGCCATACAGCCTAGAAAACTCACAACCCAGACAAGAGTTCTTTCTCCCACCCCGGACATTCCACAGATATATAAACCCCACTTGCCTAGTTTCCAATAGACCTCACAACCTCTGAGAATGCCTGGGGACAAACATCAGGAGAGAATGCTTCTGGAATATGACTGTACAGCCCTGAAAACTCACAGCAACCCAGTGATTTCGGCCATGAAAGACTCCAGCAACACACTAAAGAGTTTGTCAAACCATCCTTCCCATGATTCCATGTCAAGCTACCATTCCCATGAAGCCTCCACTTCTTTTCATAAGCAAGGTTTTCTCAGAGTCATCTGGTCTGACCTCCAACTATGGATGCATCTGCAATGTAGAATTCATGCAGTTTGATTTTCACTGCCATGGCTCACTGAATCCGTTGTTTTATTAGATCTTTAGCCTTCTCTGCCAGTGAATGTCGGTACCTCATCAAACTACAGATTCCAAGATATCATAGTATTCAGCCATTGCAATTAAAATGATGTCAAACTGCGTTATTGTGAAGTAATGTAAAAATAAACCACTTGTAGTTCACGTTTGATCAGCCCAAACACTGACTTGCCAGAGAAAGAAAATATGCCACGCAGATGAACAATAAAAAACAGATATATAAACCCAATTTTCCTATTTTCCAACAGACCTCACAACCTCTGAGGATGCTTGCCATAGATGCAGGCAAAACATCAGGAGAGAATGCTTCTAGAACATGGCCATATAGCCCAAAAAACCTACAACAACCCAAAGAACAAGTAGTTTACTCTTCATGGATCAAAAAACATATGTACAATGTGATCAGTTGCATCAACTCACATAATGTCCTTTTATGAGATATTTAAAATGGTCTTTCTTTGTCCATGTGGATAAACTCTTTCAGCAGCTCATGAAGCAAGAGTACACACCAAACTCTGTCTCTTTCTGCTTCTCTCCAAGCATCTGCTTAGCTCAAGCCTGAACAAAAATATAACAGTATCCAAAAGTCCCAGGCTCAGCCTGCTCCTTGCATAGCCTGACCAATCAGCTTCATGCATCTTATTTTACAGTTCACACACACACACACACACACACACACTGATCCCTTACATGCTCCAACAGTTATTTCTACAGTGTGGATGCACTGTATGGACATTATAAGTGGAATAGGTGAACTCTGGATGAACCAACTCCCATCTTATACCTGTTCATAAGCTAAACTGGGGCTAATGGGAGATGCAGTCCAGCCAAAGCTCAAGAGAAGGCCATGCCTAACTCTCCCTGAAGAAATCTAAGAAAGCAATGTAATAGGTCATTTTACTGTTGCTGTACATAAATCACAAATAACTTGAAGGCATGCAATAACAATGGAGTGTCAAGCCCCGGCATGTCTAAACCAAATTACCGTAAATCCTGCTGAGGTCAACTGGTGTGCTATTCATTTCATATCACTACTTCCTTTATTTATTTATTTTCAAAACTTTATTTTTAGGCAGATTTCTTCAACCTGCCCTCTCCCTTTCTTTTCCAGGAAATTGGGATTAGGAATCCTAGCATCTAGTGCAGTGTTTCTCAACCTGGGGGTCAGGACCCCGAGGGAGTCGCATGGGGGGTTTCAGAGGGGTCTCCAAAGACCATCAGAAAACACATATTTCTAAAGGTCTTAAGAATCCCTTTGGCAGAGAAGGCTGAAGATCTCTCCGCCTGTTCTTCTCTTCCTTTCCGGAAACAGCCAGTGAATTCTCCCATCAAAAGCCCTCCACCTGATCTTTTGGATGTAGGTGAACTACAACTCCAAAACTCAAGGTCAATGCCCACCAAACCCTTCCAGGGTTTTCCATTAGTCATGGGAGTTCTGTGTGGGAAGTTTGCCCCAAATCTAAGCTGGTGGGATTCAGAATGCTATTTGATTGTAGGTGAACTATAAATCCCAGCAACTACAGCTCCCAAATGTCAAGGTCTATTTTTCCCAAACTCCACCAGTGTCCACATTTGTGCACATTGAGTATTTGTGTCAAGTTTGAGTCTGCAGTACTCTCTGGATGTAGGTGAACTACAGCTCCAAAACTCAAGATCAATGCCCACCAAACCCTTCCAGTATTTTCTGTTGGTCGTGGGAATTATGTGTGCCAAGTTTGGTTCAATTCCATTGTTGGTGGAGTTCAGAATACTCTTTGATTGGATATGAACTATAAATCCCAGCAACTACAACTCCCAAATGACAAACTCACCCCCCCCCCCAACCCTGTTGTTGTTGTTGTTGTTCANTTCGCTCATGACATCATTGAGGTGCTCAAGCTCCAGCGCCCCGACAAGGCGGTGATCCTTTGCTGGAGTCTAGCTACCGGCTGCAAAAATTCCACCTTATTTTACCTTATTTTGCTTAGTTTAGATTCTGGCTGTTTCTTCCCAATGTGTTGCTGTTCATTCATTCAGTCATTTCTGACTCTTTGTGACCTCATGGACCAGCCCACATCAGAGCTCCCTGTTGGCCGTCACGACCCCCAGCTCCTTCAAGGTCAATCCAGTCACTTCAAGAATCCCATCCATCCATCTTGCCCTTGGTTGGCCCCTCTTCCTTTTTCCTTAAATTTTCCCCAGCATAATTGTCTTCTCTAAGCTTTCCTTTCTTCTCATGATGTGGCTGAAGTACTTCATCTTGGCCTCTACTATTCTTCCCTCCAATGAGCAGTTGGGCTTTATTTCCTAAAGTATGGACTGGTTAGATCTTCTCGCTGTCCAAGGCACTCTCAGAACTTTCCTCCAACACCACAGTTCAAAAGCATCTGTCTTCCTTTGCTCAGCCTATGGTCCAGCTCTCACATCCGTAGGTGACTACGGGGAATACCATTGCTTTGACTA